GGATTATATATTTATAATTTTTCATACTTAAAAATATACATTATGTATTGCATACGTTATGCATTGTATTCTGTAGGTACAAAGTTAATACACTCATTTAAATACTACATATATAGTTACAACTTTAGTTAATAGTTAACTATTTATTTAATGTTTTTTATGCAATAAATAATTATTTATATATTCTTAATTATATATATATATATATATATATATATATATATAGTTATTAATTAAGATGAGAATTAGAATAAAGTAGAGAACAATCAATTTTTATCAGAGTGAATTGAATATTCTTATATATGAATTCATTATTCGCGCGACATTATATTTGCTGAACATTTATAATTATTTTAGAAATTATAAAATACTGATACATTAATATTTAAAAAAAATTCAAATTTATATTTTCATAAATATATATTTTAATTTTGAAAACAAAAATTTTATAAAGTTTTGTCAATTGTTTACATAAATCATTGCAAATTTCAAAACGTGTTTGCCTTGATTAATTTAGAATATTTATTTTAACGATTTACTTTACATTATTATAATTTTTTAGAAGTATTTATTATAAATGTTAATTAGTGATTTTTTATAATCAGAAAACAGAATATACATTTGATTTGAAATAATAGTATGATATTTGTTTATAATGATATATAGTCAGTATATTTTATTATCAGTTAGTGTAAATAAGTATAATTAGTTTTTATAAAGCAATTTAAATCTAGAAAATACTATATTTTTAAAATAATTTTCCTACTTCATAGAAAAATAAAAACATGGTACCTAATATATTTTTTATTTAAATGTTAACTGATTTTCATTTTTAATGAGAACATTTTTGTGTTATATCTACGTATATATAATATATTCAAACTATTAAATATAACCACTGAACTTTAAAATTACATATTATCTTAAGGTCAGGCTGTTACATAATTTCATATAAATTTTATTAAGTTGAATAATAATTATAATATATGTAGATATGAAAAACATGAAATGTTATATACAGTACTTTATGGAGTTCTTATTAAACTGTCTATTATTTTGAATATAATTATAAATAAAGAGTTTAGATATTAAGTGCAAGAAGCATACATTAAATATAACTGCTCGAAAGTCAATCGATGTTGAACGATAACATTAGCAGTTATTGTACTTAAATAAACATGCTGTGTCCACAAATTAACTACGATCCCTTTAGTCGCTTATTAAATTACTCCAAATTTACATTTTCTAGTCATGCATAAAAAAATCTTGGATAAAGAAATAAATCTACTACTCTATCATCTTTCATCAAACAATATCTAATTGACAAAATATTGAACTACACATTTACTTTTATGAACTACATTTATTATTACATTTTCTTTATATATTATTGGATAAATCTAAAAAAACTTTTATATTAAGTTTAAAGGATAATACTAGATTTAATTATTGTTATTCATTGCTTATAATCAAACCAAAATATTTAGTGAAATACTTGAAAAAATGCAGATATTATAACAAATTATATAATTCTCTATTAAAAGAATGCAATCGTCTTCTAGTGTATTAAGAATAAACTCTAGTGAAAATTATAAAATTAATTCAAATATAGATTATACAGGATGTTGAATATTTATCTATTTGAATCTTATGTGACTAGACATGGTAATGGCACAGACAGTGCAACTACATCTTCAATAGTCAGAAGCAGAGAAAGAAGTATCATAGTAGGCCACGACTGGTATGTGTCGATTTTCAATCATTCTAGACATTATTTTTAAATTATTGAATCATTTTTGTTGATTTTGGTTTTGCCCCGTAAATAGTATCAACTCTATGAATGCCAAATTAATGTTGCCTTTGGTTGCACCTAAGCAGATTTATATTAAATTGAAATTAACTAAAAAATATGGACATCAAAGAATGATCAAGTGTATTTAAATCCATTATATTTTTGTAATAATAATATGGATGAAAGTAAATAGCTTCTTACAAGGAGAAATCATATATAACATAATTTGCTTTAGTGGCATATAATAAATGAAAATTATACTAACACAAGAACAAGAACATTTTTGCTTACCTTTTACATATCGTTTTTGATTTTTATTTGAATCAATTACGCATATTACAACATTTATTTATATTATTATTAAAAATTATTTTTACAGAAATTGTACAATCATAAATGTTCGTATTCAAAGATTCTTTTATATAAAAGCGTTTGAACAATTTTTAGTATTTATACAAATTAATTTTTTTTAAATATTTATTCATTTAAAATTATTCATTTAAAATATTCATTGATTTGCAAAATCCTTTCAAATATCTTTTATATCTTAATCTTTTATAACATAAAATTATCAGAATTTTTACATAAGTTTATAAAAAGTGAAAAAAATTTTTCTAAATTTTTTAAAAAATAATACATTATCGATATATTATAATTAATTTAATAAATTTTTTTATTAAAATATTGCATTTTTTACATATGTAAGAAATAAAATAAATTTAAATATTTTACTAGCTTCAAATTAATGATCAAGGTAGCGATTTTTTTTGAAAAAGCAGATTCATTTAGAATTTTTCAAATTTATTTAGAAAATATACATATTTTGCCTTACACAATGTGAAGAAGTGAAAAAATTATAAAGATCAAAATTATGAAGATAAATATTTTTCAATTAATATTAGAAAAAACATGTTTGTGGTGTGAAATTAAGTTTTTATTTTCCATTATATTGTATTATATGAAATCAGATATAAAACAATTTTCTACTTAATGGAATGATTAAGAATATACGATTTATAGCTCATATAGATGATTTAATTTTATAAATTGTTATGTACTTATAAAGTTTTAATTATTTAATAATTTTATATTAATGTCGCTGAAATTCAATATTATTTTGTATCAAAAATATTTTATAATAATTTTATACATATTTTGAAGAATGCTCATTCATATAACTTACTATAAAAAAACTTATTCGCTTTCACGTTATTCAATTTATACAAAAACAAGAATATAAATATTTCCTAATATTTAAAATATACCTGTATACTTCTATAGAGAAATGTATTCATTATTTTGGAAATATTAAAAAAATTTCTAATTGTAAAAAATATAAAAAATAAAATTCGAAGTTTGATTTATCTAATTTAAATCGTTACATGAAATTAGTTTCTGGCCTAAACATTACTTTTTGCTTTATAATGAGTTTATAATTCATATTTATAATTTACATTTAAATGTCTAGATTATATAAATCATGATTGATTTTATAATAAAAATAAATCTTATTCTAAAGCCTACTTTTTTAAAATATTATGTATAATTTACAATAATATAATTTGTATTTATAAAGTTATGGAATTTTTTTATTATAAGTAAAACTTTTAGAACAAATGGAAGACTTGCTGAAGCCAGTTTTTCAAATTTATAACAATATATGCAATCACAAATGTATTTCTCAAGTAATCGTACACTGGAGTAGAAATACGCAGGAGCTTTCTCTCTTTCTGTCCCTAACTAAACCTAGAGTAAACACTAACCCGGTGGCCTACTTCATCACTGTCGATACGATAGCCATGGTTCTCGAGTTGGCTTGAGGACTTTCAAAAATACTATACGCATTTTGAAGAATCATATCGTAATAACTTTTTGTATACTTTTTTACTCTTTGCTTTTCTACAACAATGTTTGCTTATAATTTTGAAATTTTGTTTTGAGGGATCAAATACTAACTTAATCATATTTTAATATGTTATTTTACATTAATAAAATCAATATTATCTAAAATATTTTTTACTTTATACAGAATTTATAATGATAATATATATGCATATACACAAATATGTTCAGTATAATACTAAATTTAAGCAATTATTGTTAAATGTGACTTTTCTATTGTGACTATAAAAGTAATTTTATATATTATGAATTTGAATACTATTATTTTATTACGGGTTGTATTTTTGTAAAGTATTATATAAAACTAATAAAATAATCTAATATCATTTTAATTAATTTATTAATTTTTTAAAAAATCGTGGTATTTATGCTCAACATTATTTTCAAGATAGCAATGAAAATTAATTTATTTGCCTACATATAAAAATATAGCTCATATGAGTGTTGTTAAATGATATTTTTATTTTAGAAAGAGATGAAAATAAAATTAGTATATTAAATGTGATAAAATGTTGTTGATGATTTACATTGAAATTAATAACATTAATTAACTATTTTTGAAGACTACTGATTAATCTGAAACTTTTACATTTGAAAGTTTTTACTTATTGAACGTAAAACAGTTAATGTATTAGAAAAAGAAAGTGGGAATAGATAGGAAATAGGAAATGTATGAATGAAGCAAAAATAGGATATATATGTATAGGAGTTTCAAATCAAAACAAATCATGCATTAACTATTCAAAACATACTTAACATATTATACAATGGGATTAAATTTATAAATATGATCGATACCTTATCTATTGATTTTTATTTCATATACTATTGAAAAATAAAATCATCTAATTCTAATTTACTTATTTCATTTGCACATATTACAATTTTCAAAACATATACATTTAATGAATACTATACAGGATGCACATAAATAGGAAAATTCATAAATGTATCTTAAGTTAACGAATCCATGGCTTATTAATATGACAAGTATAAAATACGATTGCGATTTAATATCAATCAAGATGAAAGAAAATTTTTTAATATTAAAAACAATATTCGTGATAGTCAACTTAAATTCTGCATAATATTTTAGTTATATTTATTCGATAACCACTACATATATACAACTATGCTTGCATTTATAACATAATGACAGATTTACGGTAGCAATAATCATATTTTATCTCTTAACGGTATGTAAAATAAAATTAATTTTGAACATGTCCCAAAAGTTCAATTTTATAGATATTTCTGCATTTTACATATTATAAGTGAAATAATGTTAAAAAAATTGTTGACTTACCACCTCGGCAACGTTGCCACAGCCCTCCCTCATGCCATCTCCGTCCGTGCGTCCTCCTGAAAATTGCACATGATTGCAAGCTATTAATTAATTTTCTATTCTTGCACTCTATAGTACAATTTTTATTTACTTTATGTACCCAAAAACATTTATAAAAGTTAATACCATAAATATTTATATCACATAAAATCTACAACAAATGTGGTTGCATTTATTTTAAAGATATATTACTATTATGAACTATTATTTAATTAAATGTACTTAATAAATATTTGTATCAAACGACATTAATGTAGATGTTAATAAATTTAATGCATTTTATTAAAAAAGGGAGTATTAAGTTTATATAAATATTAATGTTATATTGAATCTTTTAGTACTTTAATATACACATTCTTTTCCATATATTATTATTTAATAAGTGAATACTACACGCAGTTTACGAGAATTAAATAAATTATTTATTAATTTATTTAAAACTTACATAACTGCCGAATTGAACACATTTACTTAAAAATTAACATAAAGTTTAAAATTTTATTCTAAATTTTATTTACAACACGAATGTCATAAACAATATAGAAAATGGATCAATTATTTTTTAGAATATATAAATATTTAAGTTTCTTACTTGTTTTTTAAATTGAAACTGAAATTAGATAGTTACATCTTTAAAAATTTAATTAAAATATCAAAAAATTTCATTTAAATTAATATAAATTACAATTTCATAAAAAATAATTATTCATGCGTAAAAATCAAGGAACAAGATTGATGGGTAAATTTCAGAAATTATGAATGTTTACAGTATAATAAATAATATAGTAAAAAATAATAATGTAATAAATACTATAAAATGAAAAACTGAATTTATTTAGTAAATCATATAAGCGAGATGAAGATTAACCAATAAAAATAAATAATAAGAATAAACAAATATATAATATGATATAACAAATAAATAGGGAAATATAACATTCATTTATATTTTTCATTTAGTTATAATTTAAAGAACTAATTAAAAGTTTACAAAACTTATTTTTATTTCATTAAACAATTAAATCGCTATTGAAATATCTTATCCATCTTTTTAAAACTTAGAAGTACTTAAAAAAAGATCCTCTTTTTAATTATTAAAAACACATTTAAATAATATGTAATTAGAATGTAATATTGAACTTCAATAACTAAGAAAAAAATGAATGATGATTTATATAACAGAAATAAAAAAGTTCTATTACTTAAATTGTTTTCAACGTTAAAATAATGCTACAAATAAAAGAAATTTTGTAAAACAATTATTATAATGACAAATATAAAATATTTAAATATCCAATAATGTTGTCTTAAAAATACAAAATTAATATAGTCACGATATCTGACCCACTCGTCAAATTAATAGGAAAATCAAATCAAGAATTAATAGCACAAACTATGCAGACATCATACTTATATGTTTTTATATTTTTTATCTTTAAATGCATATACAGAAGAGCTATTGATATAAATAAAAATATAATAATTGACCTGTGAAAAAAAAAATATAAAAAAGATACAAAATAACCAAAAATGTATATAATGCAATATCGTTATATACAAAATAAAAATGATCCAGATAAATTTAAAGAATATGACAAAAAATAAATAAAAAATAAATAATTAAGAATTTTGAATGTACGCTTGAATTAAGAGTATTTTCAAAAGTATAAAGCAAAAATAAATCTTGATAGATTAAAATTGACAGATCTAATGATATGGTTTTACAAAACATTTCACACACATTCACAAACCGAATAATATAAATTTTCAGTAAACGAGAAAAATAGGTTATTATATAAATCTGTAAAATTAGGAAATAGTGAAGTATTTTCGTATATATTTTAAACATAAAACGAGTGTATGCGTATACAATTACGTAAGTCATAAGACTTTATCAACTATATCATAAATGTAAGTAAATATATATATATATATATATATATATATTATGTACCTTAAATCCCACATATGGATTTGTATTTAAAAATATAAATACATGTTAAGTAAATTAAATCATATTTCTAATGAAGTTAAATTTATTTTTAAGCTATATAATAAAATTTTTATTATAACGAATTATACATATTTATGATTATAAATCAACGATACTTTTATATTATAATATTATTTAGCAAATACTTGCTTTAGATTTACTTTTAATGTACTTGATTTTTTAATATACATAGATTTCTATTTTCTTCTTAATGCACCTATTAAATTAAAATTATATTAAAGACAATTATTGTAATTATATTACTATATAGAGATTCGACTGAAAATCAGCTAAATAAATATAACAATAATGGTAAAAAAATGGTATTGACTTTAAATCATAAATCAGTAAGGGTTTATGATCATAATTATAATATATGCAGGATAAGACTGTTTATTGTATAGTGTTGGTGTACCAAAGTTACTTTCGGATTTACGACACTGACTTTTTGCACTTTAACTTTTAGAAACCAAAACCAAAATTCAGTTTAATTAAATTTATAATTTGTTCTTTACATCGCTACGTGCATATACACATAATTTATATATATTTATTTAAGCAATGATAATTAAACGTTATATTTTATCATATTCCCTCTCATTCGTTTTAACAAAAAACATACGTTGTGTCAGCTTTTCAATCTTCAATATAATAATTTTCAAGTTTGTGTATTTATTTAATATATATTTAAGGTATTTAAAGAAAATTATAATATCGATATTATCTTCATAACATCCTTATTTAAAAAATCGAAAAACTGTACTAAATCGTACATTACTAAATACTTTTTCTAAAATATTTCTAAATTTCTAAAATATTTAAAGGCCAACATTTTAAATATTTATTTATTATTATATTTAATCGACAATTATATATTCATTTCAGAAAAATTTATGGATATGTGATCGTTACAGAATTTATTTTTATTCTTAGTACCAGTGAAAATGAATGATCATTACTATTTTATTTTCATTACAGAGTGAATATCAGATTTTTTAAAATAAGTTTTAGCAATTTTCAAAACTTATACGACAATTCATAATTTACTTTTATTGCTAACAAAAATGATAAAGATACATATTTGTTATATTAAAAAATTAAATTAAATATTACATTAAAATACTTATTATATTAAAGAGCTTAAATTTCATAACTTATTTATAGAAAATTTTATAAAAAGTTTAGAAAACATTAACAAAGTTCTTTATTTAATAATATTTAATAAATTATTATATTGCTTATAAAATACTTTTTGTAATCGTTATGCGAATGTTTAAATGTTTGTATATAAAATAGATATACTACATTTGTATATTTATCTAATAAAAAAAAATTGGTGAAATTCGACCGATCTTATATTTGTGCAATATTATTTTTAGATATAAATGAATATATACATTGTATACGTTACATAAATTGTATATAGTTATATGTAAAATTGTAAAATCAAAACTTTAGTTAATTACAGCATTATATTAACCTTTTTTTTACTTTATGTATATTTATTTAGAAAGTAGGTCGTGTTTTAATAATATAAAACATCATTAATAATTATGATAATGATAGATTTAATATATTTTGAAAGTTTGTATTTTCTCTATTTAAATTATCGGTTTATATTTACCAATTGCGTATGTGATTTTCAGATAAAATATTGTATTATAAAAAATTCTTTTTAGAAATCAGTTTAAATTAAATATTTTTCGTCAATTCATCAATAAAAATATGCATTTTTTTTTCAAATTATTATAGTTTGAGAACAAAAATATTTCATATTAAAAGAAGCATTTGTCAAACAAAAGTGTGTATAGTTTAGATAAAATATGTTATATATATATATATATATATATATATATAAATTATATAATTCGCAATATATAATTAGATAGTTATTATATAATTCGATAAGAAATTTTAGTTGTATTGTATAGTTGTATCATGCATGTATTTTAGAACTCGATATTTTTAAATGAAATTGTTTTGATAATTAAGTCAACAATACAAAATTATTAAGATTTAGACTCTCAATATTTGCATCGCGTGTAATTGTGTTTAAAAAAACAAGGTCCAAATAATGTTTAAAATTTCATCCTCGTTTTCCCCACTTTTAGATTTCTAAAGTATCTCAACGGTATGGAGTTTGAATGGGTAGAATTAGCAGTCGGTGACTCTTTATGGTGCTGCTCACCTTTTTGAACCGGCACAATCTTGTCCGCGATTCCCGGATCTTCGTCCGTGTAATCCAGATTTCGACCTTTCTCCGTGACTCCTACTATTTTTATTACACTCCCCACCTTTTCACTAAACTCCGCTGCACGCAAGATCGAGCGCACACATCTAGCATCGATACTGGACAACAAAACAACCCAACGCACAGCACTCGCGAACACAAGACAATAATATTATTCAAATATTAACACCATGCCACGGATCACAAATTCACTGGGGTCAGGCTCAGGCATGTAGTGCTTAGCCGAACGCGGGGGAGTCGAGAAGGAAGTAGAATGGAGGAAACTCCAAGATCGCCAGAGGACTCGCGCATAATATCTGCATAAAACGCGCACTCGAAGGGACCTCTGCAACTCAAAGCCTTAGTGATTAGTACCCAACGAAAATGAGAAAGTCCTGTCTGCTGTATCCGGAATGGCTGACTCCGAGAAAGCGTCGCTGCCGCGTCGTTGACTGCCGATCTCTGCACTCCCGACCTGCCGTCGCTCGACAAGATGTCCGCTCGTCGGCCCTACCTACGTAATCTGCATTCGAACACTTGAGACATGGAGTACATAAGCAGAGGGCCTCGCGAGCAGACGCGTAGCCCAGCAAAGGTTGGGGCCGGGGCCGGGTGCGGCCGGGGATCGTTGCGGCAGGGACAAGGGCTTGCGGAGGGCAGGCGGGCTAAACTGCCAACCACCGTTCGACCATCCAAGGTGAATCGAGCTGTCCAACTGTCGAGTGCGCTGTTCGAAACGAGCGCTGGAAGCTTGAGGCTCGAGCGCGGCAGGCGAACCGAGTACCGAGCGCTGAGCCTCGGTCTTGGCGCTTTACGGTAAATGAGATTGTGCCTGCCGTTATAACCGGCCGAGGCGGCGAATTGGCTCGATCGTACGCGAGACGGAACCAATGCCGGCCAGCTATTCCCTTACCTGGCGAACGCTCCTTGCCCCCCCCCCTCCAGTCGTGTACAACTGCTTAGTTGGCCGCCATTGCTTTATAATACGTTCCCGCATTTACCTGCATGGTTCTCACTCTCCGAAGTTTGCATTCCTCGGTGGTCTCCGGGCGTCGCCGCCAACATCATCTCGGACCGTGCGATCCAAGCGTTCTGTTAATAAAAAGTCTGAGTTTCATTGCGTGGAAAGCAGAGTACAATGAAAGACCATGCCTGTCAAATATTTAGTAAAGCCTAACTTATTCTGCATTCCTTATTAGGGACGGACGATCATTTCTTTTCATTTGCTGTTAAATAAATCTTTGACGGACAAACAATATTAACTAAAGTATAATCAAAAACTCTTATATAAATTTTTATGAAGTGCAAACCGCTCATCATATTTTTTACATTATTGATTATTAATCTATACATTTGCCAATTATTTGTTCGTAATACATACTATTCATAATACGGTATCCGTTGCTGAACTACAAATATATTTGTACATTTTGTATTGTAAATATACAAGATTGAGCGATTCTTCATTATTTAAAATAGAAATAATTAATTTATCATCTACAATATTTTATATAATTATTAAACAATTATTTTTAAAATATTTTTATATTAAAAAATTAAAAGCTAACCAAATTCTTTAGAACCAATATTAATTTGCAATTACTACTTTACTACTAATTATATTACAAACTTTGATATAAATATATTTTTTATTTATACTTGATAATCTATAAAATTTCTACGTTCTAATTACAAAATTCAAAGAGTCATACAAAATGAAATGTCAAAATTGCCTTATTGCATAAGAATATTAATAAACATAGAAATTTATTTATTGGTAAAAAATTTGTTCATGTATTAAAAATTAGTGAATTTATAATGGCATAAATTAATATGAGCAATATAATTACGAAAAAAAATCTTTCATAAACTTTTTTTTTGATTAATTAGCACGATCATGATATTAGTTAATTTCTAAAAATAGTATTCATTAAAAATGTTCACATACCATCAGAACTAAAGTATGATTTATATTCAATTAAAAATTATTAATAATCATTTTAAGAAAATATTTTAAGTATTGATTATAATAATAAAAATTAATAACTTTAAAATTTTAATCTTGTATATTAAGTCGTAAACACAATTATACAATTATAATTATACAACGACGTTTGCGCTCCCTTAGTGAATAATTCCTTATATATTTCTTTGCATATTAAATATATATTTTCGTTATATAAATTTGCAGATTTTAAAGTTCACACTTTATATAATATTTTTTTATACATTTTCTAATAATAATATCAATATTATCCGATAAACTTCACTATTTTTCTTCTCTTTGTGTATATAAATTTAAATAAGTTCGCAAATTGCTAATATTAATCATCAAAAGTGCATCATTCATAAATATTGGGCTTCAAAGGAAAATGTTGAAATTTCTTGAATTTAATCGAATAAAAATCATCGTATAGTAAAACGATATTTGCTAAAGCGAAAATTGTTCGATATAAGTACAAGAAAATAGAAAATCAAATCTCAATTATTAACTGAATTTAGACACTACTCAATGTGCTTACTTGCTTTAATGCTAAATTAAATTATCAATGTTTGCGTTATGTGGTTTCGTATTCTGGGACCTTTTACAATTACATTGATCAATCAGTTTTGCGAATCAGTTGCTTTTATATTTTCACTAAAATTTTAATATAATATATAATATTTTTTAGATTATGTATTAAACAAAGTTTCGTAATGCTTGTATAATTTTCACTTAATTACCACAATAAATAATTTTGTATTTTATAATGATCGAAGCAAAATTCTATAAAAATATTTTTATCAAGTTTTATATATTCTGATTACCTAAATATTTTATTGTATTTAATTATTTTTATTTACTATTGTATTTATTATAGAAAAGAATTTATTTACTATAAAATTTGTAAAAGGTCTATAAAATAATATTAATCTTTTATGCTAATGCCGCCGTATTGTTCTAGTAATTAGAAATTTTTTAATCATTTGATCGCAAATTTTTAGAAATTTTGGTGTAGATTATCTTATCAATAAATTTAATATGTCAAATCTGATAAATATTAATAAATGGTAATATATACATATATATATATTTATATATGCATCCATACATTTTAATGTATATTTATTATGATATTAAAATTGAGATAATAAAGTATTTGACACTACATATAGGTTAAATTAAGTAACCGAATGAAATTGACATCATATTATTATATGAACAGTCAATTTATAAAGCTATCAAACTTTATTATGTAAATATTCATATTTAAATATAAAATAATGATATCGTAAAAATGTTATTACAGTAATTTGTAATAATAATAAATTGAATAATAAAATAATAATAATAATAATAAAATAAGTAACAATAAAATAGCTTAATTACTGTAATTATTTTTTTAGTTTTTACAATAGATTTGCCCTTAATAGTCGTAGCTTATAAGATAATCTTATATGAATGTTGTAAGGTCCCTTTATAGTACCTAACCGATGTAAATTCATTTCCTTTCTATATTTAATCCTATATATTATATTTATTTCAATATTAATTAGTCCAACCCCTAATTATATCTGTCGCATTGCATATCAGACCGAATTATTAAGTACGGGTTATTAATTTATTTTCAACGAAAGTGACAATTATACACTTAAGTTCTTACCAAAGTTAAAAATGCTTAATTTTTCTAATGTCACTCTATTATCATTAATTAATAAATGATTAATTAGTATTTAAATATGCACGCGCGCGCGCACACACACACACACAAAAAAGGAAATGTTATACCGAAGAAGTTTATATTGCAAACAAATACATGATAACAACAACATCAATAACTAAAGTATTGATAATAAGAATGATAAATTATATGATATTAAATTAAATAAATTGGAAGTCCTCTAAAAATAGAACTCAAAACATTTTAAATGAAATTACAGATTTTCAAGCAATTAAAAATTTTCAATTCAATATCATTATAGCATAATTTTATAATTTTTTAATATTACTATGATATCTATTAAGTTTTTATTTTTAACCATTAAAATAATAATAAACATTAAAACATTCATTTGAAAAATAAAAACTGGATTAAGTAAATATCAAAATGTCCATAAAAGCCAGTTGAACAATCTATGTTACTGGAGAAAAATTAGTAAGTTTACATAAAGATTTAGTAAATTGAGGAAAGAAAAAATAAATGTTGACTTATTACAAATTTATTGTGACATTTAAAAAATACAATGGATATTTGTAATAACAAAATCTAATTCATAGTCAGCGGCAAATACTGTAAATTTATAAGCATCGTAATCTATGAATTATAGCAGATTCTCGTTACGCCACTTGTGTACGAATTAATAATGTATATAAACATTTTAATATTTATTTTAATATTATTAGATTAATTCAATGAATAAATTGAATTTATGTCGTTTCAAAATCTGTGAGAATAAATGTAATACTAGACACAGGATTAATTGTACAAAAGTTATTTATATTCCAGAATGGCTCATATTCATGACAAAGATATTTATAAAAGCTACAAAATTTATTTTTCAATCTAGAATAACAAAAAACAAAACGTAAAACTTTTTTTAGAATAATCATATTAAAAAGTTAAAGATAATTCTTATACATTAAAAAAGAGATTGATTTGATTTATAAATTCATAGACGGGGTTGTTTTTTGCTTGAATAAACAATATAAAATAATTAAGATAAACATCTGTTCAATTATTTTAAAGTATTATTTTTATTTTACTTGGCGCAAATCAAAATAGTATTTAAGACGCTTAAAAAGAAAATATAAATTACTTGACGTTATGGTGCGATCAAGATATTTTAAGTTTTATGAATAAATGTTAAAAGTAAACGTTTTAAAAATAACCGAATATGTTATATTATAAATGTGTATTTTGTATTTCGAGATATTCATAAGAATAAATTTTGTCACTTGAACAATATATTTTATAAAAATAAACTAATCGTTAATTTAATGTAATATAAAAATTAATATAAAAATCTAAAATATTTATACCATAAAATAGAAAATGAAAATAACGAATATATCTACAAAAATCATATTTGTTTATAAGTTATAGAGACATTAATAAAGAAAAAAAAATGAAAAATAAGAATAATACGACTTAAAACAAAAGGTTATATAATTTACGCGAAAGTTTAGTTTCAATATTTATTTTTCAAATTAAATTAAATCAATGTTCGTTTATTGTGAAAAAAAAATATTTTGTAGATTCATATTTTTTACTCATTAAAAATTTCTTGTATTATTGTTTGCAAAAGTTATTTTATATTTTAAGTGTAATATAATTGATTTTCAACCTTCTTTTTCAATTTTATTATTTATTAAGAAATATTAATTATTTCTCAATTTTTATCCATTATATATTTTTTTTTAATTTTAATTTAAAACAATAATTTAATATATTTGTAATAATAGTTTAATTACGCTGATTTATAAATATGCAATTAATAACTTGAAAATAATCATTGTATAGTAAAAATTAATTTATTTAAATCAAAATTTTTCATTGAAGACTTGTTTTAAAATAAAAATTAACAAATTTTCTGTTAATTAAAAATTCTCAAATTATATACAATGTATAATATATTGTAAAATTAAATCGACACAAGAATATTTTTGTTTAATCTCTCCATATTTCATTATTTTATATTGCGCGCTCAAAAAAGAGTCAATACACATAAGTTGTATTGCTAGATAGCACACTATTAGGATATTTATTGTTCAAATGCATTTACGTTATGCAAACAATGATCTACGATTAGTGTACTGTTTTATGATAATAATAATCCAAAAACTGGCGATGTTTTCGATGATAGGAGAGTATATATCGTGATCGCAAATAGCCACTGCCACTATTATTATTAGCCAATCTTTAAACTAATCCGAAACAAAAAACATTCAAGAGAAAAAATATTAACTTATCTCTAATTTCATGATCTTAAAAGAGCGTACAAACTTTTTTCCCTCAATAACAGATTTTTACATAGTTTGCAACGGAAGACCTTTCAGTTCTTTTCAATGTGAACTTTGCTAGTATGTAGCAGTAATTCGTTCTCATTAACGAATCATGCATAACAAAGGATTCCTTGTTAAAAAAATAGCGGATATTTTAAAACGCTGTATTTGTTATGTCTACACACAATGATCGACCCAACAGTAAATCGATTTAATGCGATAAGCAAATTAGTAAAATTGGTATGATCATAATGAACAGAATGACTAATAATGCCACAAATGACAAAATAAGTACAGAAAAATTTGGTTTGAAAAAATAATTAGTATAATGGAGATTGCCACCAGGTGGCTGATTCATATTAAGAGTATTTTCAAAAGATGTATAGTGTACATAGTTTCATCACTTCACATTATCTGGTATTTATCGCAGGGTTGGTAGCCTATGAAACTAGCGATGAATTCAGTAGATTCACTTAATATAAAGTCAATTCAAATTAGAAAAATATTTATTTATCGGAATAAGCTGAGAAACCCAATCTGTTTAGATTTGGAATGTACGAGTATTTTTTCGGTGTTGTAAATTAACAGCTATATCGAAATGTTTTTATCTGGCAGCTGCATTAAAACATTATCTTAACACGATGCTAATATGATATGAATTGGCATCATCGACTGGTTTAATGTTCACAAATTGCAGAATTTATTTAATGATTTCATTTATTGTAATAAAATATGTTATTGCAACATATATTTCATACAACTACGCTTTATATTATTTTAATCAGTAGTGAAATTAAATTAGGAAGTGATTAGAATTATCGAGATTAAAGCTTAATGTATTTTAATATTAAAGCATTATTTACTAAACTACCGTAATAGATATTTTATTTTGTTGCACATTATAAGTTGATTTGTGAAATTTTATAACAATGTCTGAAATGGTAGATAATAATTCATTATTTTTATGATTTTTTTAAATATACAGCTAATATTAAAAATTGTACTAAGATCATTTTAAATTTCAGAAATTTAGGTGGTATAATGATCAAGATTATAAGCATTTGGAGTACTCTTTGACATGCAGTAGTGAAGAGGTAAATTTAGTAAGATATATATTTTTAAACAATTGTACTATCTAATCATTATATTTTTAGATACGACTCGATACATTAAAACTGATTGCAATATCAAAAAAAAGTACTTTAACTTTTACAGAACAAGAACTCAATTTAATAACTACATTTTTAAAATACAATCTCAGAGAAAAAATTGAATTTGTTCCTTTAATAAAAAAAGTAAGCAACTATAATTTTTTAAAAATAATTGTACTATTGTTAAATTGAACTTGCATTAATTTCAGATTTTAAAAAGACTTAATGATAGTTATGCTGTTTTAAAGCGACAATTAGATAAAGAAAATAAACTGAAGGAGTTAAAAAATCTTCATCCTGAATTTTCTAATTCCCTTGAGGATTCATTTGATGTTCAAGCTTATATGAAGTCTTATCAAATATTTATAATTTTTGTACATGAAATTTGTTTGAATAGTTTATATCCTGGTGCTATAAATGTTCATAAAAAATCTAGTCTACAAATACTTTGTCTGATTGATGAATTTTTAAGCAAGGACTTACAAAGTTTTTTGTGGGACCTCCATCAGTTTAAGAAATTACTTGATTGTCTTCTTTTAGATACTTACGAAGTAAACAAAGATATGGCATTCAGACTGATTAAGTCATGTAAGCTTACAGAATCGTTTTTTGATACTAAAATAAAGGTTTTAGAACTTATTAATGTTGCTATACAAATGGGTAATAGTGTTAGACCTCTTGACAGTGTTACTGCTGCATATATGTTTAAAATTAGTATGCTATCATCAAACATACAAGAAATTTTGCTCGAGTTAATCAAATTTAAGAAAAAAAATTGTATAGAAGAAGAAAATGTTTTTTACATGATTATGTTGTTAAAATTATGTCTTGAAGTATGTAATTCTATACAATTTCTAATTTTATGTAAAATTCAATGATAATGTTAATATTTTAGACTCCTGTAAAATTGGCTGTAGAAAATATTGTAATTGCTGTAAGTAAACATTCTCTATATGGATATATTTTTTGTATTCATAGTATATTATCGACTGTTAATTTAAGGTAAGAAATTGCTGACTAATTTATAATAAATTTTAATTTATCAAAATAATGTTGATATTATTTTTATTCAATTTTTTTTATTAGAAATATTATAAATGATGAAAATTGGAAAACTCTTTTATCAGATCTAGTAAACATTTGCTTTAAATTAAATACTGCAGTATCTCAGATTGTAAATAATTCATCTCCAGAAGGACATCTACCAATGGATTTGAATTCTCATAATTTAGATAATATTTCCAAGAATATGGAATCAATTATAATCACATCACAAATGATTTTACTTTGTTCTTGGAGAACTGTCAAAGAAATTAGTTTATTATTTGGTTACTTAACAACGCACGTTTCAATATATGATGACACAAAAAAAACTGGTTTATTAAATGAAAATCAGGTATAAGTTAATAAATAATCATAATAAAAGATATTATAATTTTATTAACATTGTAATTAAAATTTTATAGATTAAAGAAATTGGAAATCAACTTGTTTCTTTATTGTGTGAAACGAAACATAGAGGAGCATTTGAACAAGCTTATGTTGGCTTTGGACAGTTATGTAGACGATTATGGCATTTGAATGAGACACAGATATTTCTTAAACAGCTACCGATCATATGGTTGCAGCAATTACTAATTTCTATTGTTCATTTAGTACCTGAAAATTCAAAATTATGTGCAACTAGACGAAGTGCTGGTGTACCATTTATGATGCAGGTAAGTAGAATTTTTTGGTTCTTATTATTATATTTAAAAATATATTATAACTATCAATTCATATCATTTTTACCAGGCAATAGTAACTTCAGAAATTAAAAAATGTAATGATAAAAAGATATTAACTTTTCATTCCATAATAAGAATTTTGTTTAAATTGGTCACTGTAGAAGATAATTATAATTTAAACGATGTGGAAAATTTATTATTTCAAGAAAGTCTATTTACTCAATACAAAAAATTAATTATCATTCATAAAGCTAATGGAATAGAAACAAAATGTACAGAATTAAATAAAGTGACAGAAATTAAAACACATGCTTTGAATATTTTGAGGGCATTGTTTAGACATTGTTTATTAGGAGACTTAGTCAAAGATTATATAGCCGAAGGTTTCATAACTGCTTTTAAAAGTTATGACGGAAAATCATGGGCTGTAAATATTTTATATACTATTTATATTTTATTTTGTTTACTTCACTTTTATTATAAAATTTACTTCTTTTGTATTATAGGAAAGAAATGCCGCAACATTATTGTTTAGTTCTCTTGTCATTAGAGTTTTTGGAGCTCAGAGAACCAAGGATCATATAAATTTAACATTACATAATAAAATGACGGGAAAAATTTTTTTTGACAGATATCCTATTTTGTTACCATTTTTATTAAATGAATTGACAATATTTATAAATCAAACTGAAAATTATATTACACCGAAAATTCAATCCATACTTTTAATATTGTCTCGTTTGTATCCAAGTGTCAGCTCTGATATTACAGATGAAGACTGGCAGGTTATAATTTTTATTAAATGAAAGATTAAAATTAAAAAAATGTTAATGATTGTAGATGTTAAACTAAATCATTAAGAATTTATGTTCCACATATTAAATATATTAGTAAATATTTAAAATAAATTACTATTTTATAGATTGACAAATTCATTGATTTAGTATCAAAATGTGGAAAAAGTATTGTTTACAAAACTCGAGAATTAGCAGCCAGAGCTTTGGTGCCACTATTAACCGAAAAAAATATATTATCTATTTTGTGCAATCTTTTAAATGTAATGATTACTAAAGAATTGTCTCTCAATTTATTACATGGTTATGCCCTTCAAGTAATAATTTATTTTATATGCATTTTTTTTTATATATTTTATAATAAGCAAAGTATTTAATTGCAGTTACTTGAACTTGTAAGGAGTCAACAATTTTCTAAAGTTGAATTGGCAAGTGAAAAACTTAAAAACTTTTTAAATTTATTAAATTCAAAAATATTACGAAATTTAGAAAATTCCAACTGCTATCCTGCTTGTTTTCCTGTATCTACAATTGTACTTGAAATTTTAATAGAATTATCAAAACTTGAACAGTACAGGTAAATTTAATGATATATAAACAATACATAGATATTTAGAACATTGTATATTATAAAATAAATATAAAATTGATTTATCTGTTAGTTGGATTTATAAGGAAACAATATTTTTAAATATACTTGAAAAGATTCAATTACATTTGACAAATAGGAAAATACTGATAAAAAATCCTGGTATTGAGTTGTATGAAATTACTGCAGTAAATTTACTTATTACTTCATTGGATAATGACAACTATACTGGCCCATTAATAAATAATCAAAGTTCTGCCTCTAAATTTTGGATACTTTTATTACATCATAATAATACTGAAATGTTATCAGTTATTTGGTCAAAATTAATTTATATAGTACAAAAAACAAACAGTCCAATGTTGTATAACTTAGGATTTATGACATCTGTTAAAACACTGCAAGCACCTATCACCCATTCTGATGTACAAGATGAAGTCTTTGAATTTATGTATAAAGCGATTATAGATATGGAAAAAGATGTTCAATACACTCATAGTACTTTTACAACAGAAATGGAAAAATTTTTAATGTGCATTAAAATTTTTAAGAAACTGAGTTTCCAACTTAAAATGAAAACATTTTATCCGAGAGGCACATTTTTCAAATTATTTGGAAAGACGTTTGGAATTATTTTAAAAAAATATAATGTATAATTGTGAAACCAATTAATTTTTATAAATATTGATAAATTTAGATTTTTAACATAAAAAAACTTTTATTTGCAGGATTTTAAATTAGATTTTAAAATTTTGAAAGAATTTAAAATCATTATTTATGATACTTTTTTAAATTATTCTGATATGGAATCAAATATTGATTGTAGAATCGGTATATCTGAAGTATTATTTGATCTCTATATTAATCCAATGAAAAATCATGATATTTGTAAGTTCAATATATTTCATAAATTTAATATGTTTACAACTTAATGAAAATGTTTTAAAATTTATTATTACAGATTTCATTTTGAATTGGTGGACAATACTCTTACAATTAATATATGACGATAATATTCAAATCAGATCAAATGCAGCGAAAATTGTAGATAAATTGTTACCAGGAAGTAAATTAGGCTGTGAAGCAATTATAATAGAGGTATTTTTTCAAAAGTTTGTATTAACATTTGGAGAAAATATTGAAGCTATTGTGGCTGCATTTTTTTGTTGGTGTATGTCAACATCAGCAGTTCTTATTGAAGAAATGGATGAAACCGATGTAAAGTTATGAAATTTTATTTTATTTATTTACATTTATTAAGACAAAAAAATTAAATCAAATTTACTTTCATTATTTTCAGGTTTTTAATAAAAGTTGTAATTATGAGTGTTTTGATCCATTACTAATTAAAGATATGTGCATTTTTCATTTAAAGCAGATTATTTCTAAATATAATTTAGCTTCAAGAACATTATCCAATTCAATAAAGGAATGGATACAAAAACAGCTTAAATTAGATAATACTTATGAGTTTCAAAATTTAATCGAATTAATAGTCAAATATCAAAATATGATTCCTAATACTGAAAAACCATTAAAAAGGCTATTGGATCCAACATATCCAGCTAAATTAATAAAAGAAATTTCATACTTGGATATTAAACAAATAATAATAAGTAAAAATGGCGTAGACTAAATAAATTATATTGATAGATTAATTAATAAGTAATTATTCCAATAAGTAAAATATTTAATCATTTATTCAAATTTATTTAACAAGTAAAATTTATTTTTGGCTATAGTAATGTTCAATTCAAAAGTTTTTCGAATATAAGTAACAAAACTAAGTTCTTTTGAAAGTATAACGTTATAATTTTGATGAATAATAAATTAAATTTACAATATTTAAACAAGAATTAGATATTACTTTAATATCTACCAACGATAAATCTATAAAATGATAGTAATTTTGTATATTTATATAATATAGTTATTTTTGTTAATATATTTATGTAGTTAATATTTTATAATGTCATGAATGTGGTATAACAGAAATGAATAATTTTTTGTTACAATTATGATAAATGATGATAAAAATTAGTGATATAAACATGTATGTATGAATATATTATTTATTGAGATTGTGAAACATTTTAGATTGAATTTTAAGTCAAATAAAATTGTATATTTTGTCTCGAATTTGTTTTTATATATAAAAATATAAATAAATAACATGTTTAAATCGTTACTTTTAACTTTTAATTTTCATTTATGTATATAAAGCATTTAAATTGCATAATATATGAATGGTTTATACATTTATAAATATATATATAGAAAGTCTAAATTTGACAAATATTTTATCACTTTTAATGTTACATAACAAGTTTTTTTTTATTTCATTTTAGTAATACTTAATCTTTATATACTTTACAAGAATAGCGTTTCTTTTATCACATCATATCTGTTTCAATTTTGAAATCCTTTGGTAGCTTTTATTTTCACGGCATTGACGAAGTAAATCCTATCATCATGCATGACAACTTAGATGAATTAATCACTGCAAAAAAGGTGTGGGTAAACTAAAATAAATAAAATCATGTGTAATATGTTTTTAAATTATCATAATGACTGCATACCTAATTAAATTACAAATTTTAATGTATTATAGCCCGAATAAACTTAAATCTATACTTGACATTTTAATTTAGAAGTTTTTATGCAGCTTTCTCAGATGAGTAACGTCGAATTGTTTACAATTTGTACGAAAGTTATCACTAGTATTTATTAGTAAATACTAATGATATTGTTTTGTAATGTTTCTATACATCTGCAATTGATTATTGTATTTTTATTTTCTTGCATACGACTCATTAGTATTTTATCATATATTTAAAAATTTCTTTAATACTTTAAAATTTTGCAGTTTTGACTATTCTTGGGAAGATTTTTGAGTCATAATTAAATTCTTCTCTTTCAACTGTTAAATAGACTGAATTGATCCATAAAAATTGTATAAATAATGCACATAGTTTTCTTCGAAAAATTAATTTTTTTTAATTTTTAACGTAAAGTGTATTAAAAAAATAGAAGCTACAAAGAGAATATATATATTTGCATAAAGTAGACTTATTAAAAAATAACTATTCTGTCCATGACTTTATACATACCACGATATATTTATAATTTATTGTATTATCCTCTTCCCAGTGAACTCTAACAAAAACATTTTAGTGACTTCCATTTGAAATCGATATAACGCTGATTCTACTTTGCTCTCGTAAGTGATTTTTGCACACAGTTCTTCAAGATCAGATCTAAGCTTAATTACAAATAAATATATATATATATATTTATTTATGCGCGCGCGTGCATGGGGATGTGCAACTTAATTTTATTATGAATACACTGGATAGCATTTATTTGATTAATTATGGAAATTATATTTATACGTATGTTTGAATAGATTACTAATAAAGATTTTAATACGTGAAAATAACAATAATAAAATATGCAATAAAACAATAATAATGTGAGAAATAATGTGAAAAATAGTCTATAAACAAAAAGTCGGTGTTGCTCCTAAAATATATTTGATTAGCTAATATTCCGCGCGCTTCGAAACACCAATTAAATAAAAGTAGTATTGCGCATGCGAGATTGGCGGCGTAAATATCTTATTTTATGACTTAGTATGTGTACCTGCGCTCTTGGCAATCTTCGATTCTGTCGCTTCGGTAATCCCGGATTTCGCGTACATGTACACACACTTGCCCAGACGCATGCTCTTTATAGTTCGTGCGCGCGCGGATTTTCATATTCCCGCCAGTCGTGTGTACATTCATTGTCATGTATACGCGCATGGGCATATATACAGGTAAAATCGAGCAGAAGTGAAGAATAATAACTCTCTTTTCTCGTCGTCTCTCTTGATTGTACATACGGGCTCTGTTCGTACACATGCACGCGTTCATTTTCTCTCCCTCTTTTTCCGTCAGTCTGTATCTCTAGTATCGGTTCAGAACTCAACGGTGGGAGGATTAAAGCTTTGTGTCGCACATCATAAAATCATTACCGTTCAAAGTTCGGTAATAGATTTGTTTTCTTAGTCGTAGAATATTTGCTATTAATTGCATCTGGATTATCCCTAGCCTATAAAGAAACAATGACCTTTCGTGTATGTGTGTGTGTGTAATCAATGGAACTGTTGTGCTGAGTTGAGGATCAAGCCTACGGAACTTAGAGGCTGTGAGGACTTGGTGGATATTTCAAAGTGTACCTCAAGCTATTTCAAGACTTAGACTGATGTTTGTTCTACATTACAATTATTCGTGATCGTTTTAATGTTCACCAATAGTCAGTCTGACACTTATTTTCGGTCACCTTGTGTTCCGCTAATTTCCCAAAACATTTGTGTTTTTGTTATTATTGTTATTGTCATTCTCATTGCTATTGAAGTACTACAATTCTGAAGTAATTATGTTGTTAATGGTTATTGTAGTTGCGGAAGAGAGTAGCGAGAGAAAGAGAGAGAGAAAGAGTGAGAGGACGGGCCGAAGAAGATAATTGACGTAAGGTTTACTGTGCAATTACAGAGTACGCAGCATCGTTGATCGTTTGCGAATCAAGTAAGTTTTCTGTTGAAGTTTTTCAGTCTTGCTTTTTCTCTATCGGATCACGTTTCTTTCTTTGGATCAAGTACTTCGAATTGACAACTAGAAACGTGAGATATCAAATCAAAATTTTTATTTTGGTTTCGATTGATATAATTATTTATTAATTAAATACATAATTTAAGCTGTTTTATATTTATTTTTACTATAATAGTGCTTTATACTTATTTTTAATGTAATCAAAGTAGTAAATAATTTTTAACTTATAAGTTTATTATTTATTAATATTTATAAGATATATTTTACCTTATTTAATGTTTTAAAAATAAGTCTTATTATTCATTCATACGTTGATTTTCTAATCAATCAAATAAAAGTAAACGTGGAATTCAGTTATTTATCACACATATTGATTAAAATTATTTAGTACACATATTACATATCTGTTGAACATTGTCTTATATTGGAAATTATTTTGTTTTGAACGTAATACATTTTCTATAGATTAAAAATCCTTATTGCTGTATAATGTAATAAACTCAAGAATACATTATATTTATTTATAAATTTATTATTATAGATTATATAGATTATATTATAGATTATAGTTATTTATAAATTTAAAAAATTGAGTAATAATTCCGTTTTACAATTTGCAATTGTATTATTTTATTTTTTGTTAATTTTTTATCTAACGAAATTAACATCATGAGTAACATAACGAACTGTTTTTTTTCATGTATCAAGATTAGTAAGTACGTGTTTATGATTAGAATGGGGAATTGAAAGATCATCGATTGATTCAATTAATTGTTTTTCGATACTGTAACTTATGTAAAAATGTAATAGATGAAGTATCCTTGTAAACATATACAATTTATTCAGCACCTTAATTCTTTATTTCTTTTCAATTATAAGTTTTTAAATTCTAAATTTAAAATTAAATATGCTTTAATGATGAATTAATTATGAATTATATGTAAGTTTTCAAATAAAAAAATGAAACAATTGTTATCAAAACATTCAAGCGATTTAAAATTGATTCGATTTGTTAAGTACGACTTTTTTAAATTATAATTGAATCCTGAATTAAATAAGCATTTTATAGTTAAATTAAATAAATAATTTGCAACTTAAAAAAAAATAATAATTACATGATAATGGAAATTATAACATTTCAAAAAGTTATAAATTTATAATTTACGACAAAAGGTATAATCTCAATTTTCTTAGAAAAAATAAAAATAGAACAAATAAAATACAAAAGGATGACCATAAAATATAAATATAATGATATTTCATTGTTTATTCGTATCTTTAATATTAATATATTTTTAGATTTTTTATAAAAGGTAATATTTTTTCTTTTCTATGTCCTTGCTGAATTTTCGTTTATATATTATTTTTTTATATTTCTTATAAGTTTTATCTATTTATCATTATTTTATGTAATTAATCAATGTTTAAAAATATTTTAGGCCAATTATTTATAATTACAAATATTATTATAGAAAAATTAGTAATTTTTATTTAAGATATTTAATTTTTTTTGTAGGTATTGATATTCGATCTTCTTTTAAGTTAAAATTTAAGAGGCTCTGAATATTTCAAAATAAAATAATTGATAAATATATTTAAAAATTAGAAAAATATAATATTTTATTGTGTGAGGTTAATGATTATTAATATTGAATATGAGTAATGAAAACTACCGTTACTTAAAAATGATTTTTTGATAGATTTCTTACATATTGTATTAAATAAAAATAATAAACGTATAAGAATTATTATGAAAATAATCTTTATTAATAACATGGAAATATATGGTTGATTTTAGAGCTACCGCAAAACTCATATTTTTGTGACTCCCGCTGTAATTAAATAAGGTGTAAATTTAGCCAGAACAAACTACTTTGCTTCAGTTGTTAAATTTGCACTGTATTGTCTTCGTTCCATCCTTACAGCAATTTATGAGATCATCGCATTATTTATGTTCATAATTATTCATTTTTAGTTTTCCATTTAAATATTAAATATTAATTTAATAATGTATGAAATTATTATAAAGAAAATATGAATACAATAAATTAATATTTTCGATTATTATTTATTTACGTATAAATTTATTTAAACTATTAATATTAAATATTATAATGACTTTTTATAATATTAAAGTGTACTTTCATATAATGTAATTCGTCAATTAAAAATTTTAATCAGATCATCAGGTACATTTATAGATAAAATAATATAAGGGATAAAAATATTTAATTCATGAGTTAACAATTCACATTTTAAATTGCACGAGCGCACACACACCCACACACGTATATATATATATATATATATATATATATATATTTATGAATTAACCTTAATTATCCATTATTAATTATTCTTTTTCGGTATAAAGGTTGCACCTCATGTATAATTGTTATGCATTTTGTTATACAATTTGTCTTTATATGTCAATTGCTATTCGAAATCAGATACTCCAGCTAACTTTTATATATTATATGATCTAAATTATAAATTCAATTTTATTTAAAATATTATTAACTATAGTACAATGTCTATCATTTTTTCATGTCAATGTATGAAATAAAGATTGATTTAAAAAAATCTTTTTTCATTATATTTTATTTAGAAAGTATTATATTCATATATTATAAATAATTTTGTTCAAGAACTTATGAAGTTATTTTCAAAATATAATAATGAATATTATAATGGAAGTTATAATATTTGAGAAATATAAGAAAGTTTAATTCAATATACTATACGCCTTATTGGCTTAATTCAACCGAGTTTATAATAATATTTGACTAAAATAACAGAATACGAAATACACCATTCACACTAATATAATTCGTTGATTTTATTTCAAAGTATTATCCATTATCGATTTTATATTCCTAAAAATCTAACCATTATCAGCGAAATGATGTTTAAATAAAAAGAAGAAAAATGTGAGACAGTATTTAATGTTTGTTCTCAAACAATAAAAATATTTGAAACTTATTTGGAAAATATTTAATGTAATTTCTCATTTGTGTTTTGTATTATGAAATTATCAATTAATAAATAAAAAATAAAGATAAATATTCATACCTGAAGAGTCAGGTTTGAAGTAGTTTACACGTTTAGATTTGTTACACAAACTCCCATCTTTTACATAACGAAAAACATAATTTGATCAACATATTTTACAACTATAGTGCTGGTGATAGGTATGCCATAGAATATGAAAAATGCATTCCTATATTAAATTTGTTATAACCCAATAATCTATAGAAAATTTCATTTTATGATTCATATTTACTATAAAGATTAAACAATCCTAACTAA